AAATAGACATTAATGAATATTAACCAGTACAACACAGCATAACAGGCACATCAATTATTAATTTCTTGATGATGCCCTCAGTTCTGCAAAAATTTCTGTAGCATAGTTAATTAAGAGCCTATAACCACCAGAAATTTTGTTCCATTTTATTGACTGCTGCCTGAAAAGAACAAAAAATTCTCAAAGATTAATGGTACCTGCAGGAACAATAAGGACAATAGGATTTTAAAAGGTGATTTCACTGCTTTTGCTTGTTGAGTTGTTTAGTTAGGGGTATGCTTATTTGTTCCTCTCCTTTTTCTTTTTTTCCCACAGTGGATGACATTTTTCTTTGTGTTCCTGTATAAGTAGTTAAAACTAGATTGTATACCTCAAAACAGAGACAAGTTCAAAAGTAGCTAGGAGGGACAATTACTAAAGTTTATGTAATGAGAGAAAGGAGCTGAAGGCTTAAGATTAGGAATGGACAAAAACATCATTTTAAGCTGAAGATGGATAGCTACAAAACACAAATTAAAAGAGCTAGATGGAGAGAAATGAGAAAGACAAAGATCTCCCTGAAGCACTGGCATGTCTATTCATGTAATGGATTGCATTTGCCAAATGGCTTGGCCTGAGATTTTCTTCTTCAGTTTTAAACACTATACCATTAATCAGTCTTTTAATATCAATCTAAACTCCAGAAGCCCTTTCACCTTTCATAGCACATATTTCTTATTTTTTTGAGGACTGTGCCTCAAGTTCTCTAATAGCAGTTAATTTAAACCTAAAATTATAGAAGAGAAAGCTGAAGGAGGAGGCATTCTAGGAAGATGTTTTGGAGTGACACAAGCTTTCACCTTTCAGGCTGCAGCCTCAGGTTCTGGTTCTATTTTTGAGAAGAAAAAAAAGCACCTTTTCTGTAGATGCCTTTTTTGGCCATAGCTAACTCAAAGCTCAATGACAATGAAAATAAGCCTACTATGCAAGAGCCAAGGGTAACACTTCCCAAGTTAGATGCAAGTGAGCAGGCCTGTTCACATAACAGATGGAAAGCAGGATAGCTGTCCTTACTTGGTTGCATCACTTTCAGTTCAATGCATCTGACTTTTCTGTTACAGAAGGACATTCCTTTCCAGGACTGTTGATCTGGCAGATTTCATCAGCCTTAGGTTTGCTATTAAGAAAGTAAAGGATTTTTTTCAGTACTGGGAAGTTTTATTTTCATCTTTTGGCTTTGTTCCCAGACTGATAAGTAGTTACCTATTAAATCAAGCACCTTGTAAATTTTGTTTCTTAATATTATATCTCTTAGTGAGAAAACTAACAAACACAAGGACCTCCAAGTTTCTTTCTCTAAATGCCTTCTTATGAGTTCTATATGATCTTTTTATATGTTATCTGAGCTGCAGTTTTAAAGAGTCTATATGCTTCTTGGGGCAGCTAAAAAGCATATTCATTGTCCACAGTACTGTACAAAGTTTAAAACATTTACCAGAATACAAGTTACAGGTATAAAGAGAGAAAATAACTCAGAATTAAAGAGTATAGAGGAAATTTAAAAAAAAAAAACAAAAACCAAACAATTTACTCATAGACTATGAGGTACTGTTAAAATAAACTGCAGCAAGAATCATAAACCATTTGAGTACATTTTAATAGATTTTAACTATAGAGGAAGTACCAGTTTTCAGGCAGTCATTTTTGAATGAATTAATCCACTTGCTGTGTTTAAAAACGTTTTTGAAAAGAGAGACCACACTAGAACTAATCCCAATGTCATGGGTGCTTGCTATTCAAGATTCAGCTTCATTTTTATTGATTGATTGATTGATATTTCCACTGTGATATCCAACAAAAAAGAAAATTAAATCAGAAAAGCTCAGTCTTTTGAAAGTGGAGTGATGGAAGTAAGTGAAAGTATACCTTGACTATACATAGGTCTTCAGCAGTAACAGAGCTGAGTTCCCAGGCATTACTTTCAAATTCCATAAGAGGTTTTAACATACATCTACCTGTTCAAACATCTTTAATAGCCTGTCTGTTAATTATTGTCTTATCCTGAACTGAATGATTGTGTGACTAAGAAAATAAGAGTTCATGTAAAAGAGATTCTGATTCTGTTATGATTCTTCATGTGAAATTAAATTTTTTTGCAAGATTTATAAGCATTTTTGCCAACATCTATACAACTATTCATTTCTCCACTATGACATTGTGGGATTGGAGATGGGGTCCACAGTGAATACATTTATAGATAAAATGTTATCAAACTATTATTTATCTAGGTCTATCATTTACTGAGATATGATATTTATACTAATATGTAAGAGACTGTAAAGAACAGCAAGTGTAGGCTGAGAATATAAAAATAACATTTTAAAGATGAAATGGAAGTGCCAGGTGATCACTAAAAAAGTGTGTTTTAATTGGCAAGCAGAAAGAGACATAAGAAAAAAGGCATTCTAGGTCAGTCATGTTTTGAGGAGAAAACTGAAACTCCTAGCTACACAAAGACTTAAAAGATTTTAAATTTAAAGGGAAGGTCTAAATAAAATTTAAATAAGAAAATGCAAATTTTAACATTAGCCTCATAGCAACTGAGTAAAACAGAATGGAAATACAAATTAAAAAAGGAATTTTAATAGCAATTCTTATCTTCCTGCTTAATATATTCTTGTTATTTGGTCCTTTCATTCTAGTTACAGGCATATCTACACTCATTCTCACTCCTGTGAGCACAGCATCCTCATCACTGAGACCCACATCCCCAGAGCATGGCTGTATTTGCTTCTGAGTTCCTTGAGTGGCCCTTCAGCTTTTGCTGTTCCTGCCTCTTTCCTTGCAGTGACCTCTAATCTTTATTCTACAGCAACCTGAGCATCTCTGCTCAGTCAGCTAGGCTGTCCCCAAATTGTTTATCCATGCACATGGATACACATGAATCAAACACTACTTTTTACAGGAAAAAGACATCATAGTAAATTGCAAGCAGACAGTAAAACCTCTAAATGATCAGATATTACCATCATAACTTCAACAGCACAGTAAGCTTGGCTTAAAGAGCTTGTATATATACAGGAATACCTCCTAAGGCTGTCCCCCCTGTCTTGTTAGGCTGGATGTTGTCTGCTGCATCTTTTTTTTTTTTTTCAAATTGTAGTTTGCTTTCCTTTTCATAAGCAGGAGAGAGGAATTTCTTTTAGCCTCTGTTTAAAAGTTAATTTTAAGTTACCTTACTTTGTTTTCTGTTTTCAGTATTCCTCAATGCTGAGAGTGATGGGGTGTGTAGAATCTATACCCTGAGGTCTACGCTTCCTACAGTAGCAATTCATGGAATGCCAGCAATGATCACACATGGATGAATAGGGTCAATATAAGTTTTTGAACCATCTTCATTCTTTAAGGTTCTTGCCATACAAGGATATTTTAGTCTCATCCAAGCACTCATATTATGAAATCCACCTGCCCACAAGAATTTTTACTAGCATTTTTTTTCTGTTTTGATATTAAAATTTGCTTATTTTGGTAAATTCACCATTTAAAAAAATGTTGCAGATCTCCCCAGATGAACTTTTTTAATAAGTCCAAATTCTGGCTCCAGGCCTGTAAATTTGTCCCAATTTTTATTTTGGCTAGAGTAAACAGGATCTATTTTCTCAGAATCTTTTTACATTGAAAAGTCCACCTAACAAATCTATCTTTGTCCTTTATCCCTTTAGTTATTTTATAAAAGACAGCGACACATCTAGTATTTCTCATAGCTTTCGTACAGTAATGAACTGAAATGTGAAAGAGGTAGCATGCTGTAAGTTATCCATGTGAAATGAATTTGATTTTGTTTTAGTTCTGAAATCTCCTTTTGGTGATATAAGAAGATTTCTTCTTTATGGCATCTTATGTAATGAAAATTAACAGAACCCCTATGCCTGCAAGTTTTGCAGACCTTTTTTATACCTGCTTTTGTTTGATATCTGCTGTAAGTCAAGAAACTGATAGGTTATGTGATTGAGAAAAAAGTGTGAATTAAAAAAATGAATTAATAAGATTAAGAAAGCTTTGTATTGTCTTTATTACACTCTCTTGCTTGTAATCACCAGTTGTTCAGTGGTGGAACTGACTGGAGTGAGCAGATGACAGCAATACAAGTGGGTTGTTGGCTGTGTAAGACTGAGTAGCTCGACCCATCTGAGCTTTGCAGCAGTTTTCCCTCTCCCATCTGAGAATAAAAGCCATCTTTGTTTCCTGGTCTGTTCCATTTCACTCAGTTGTACAGTGTTTGCAAGAGGTCCCTCACACCATTTAAATTCTGGTGGAACTCTAGTTTGAGGGCAAGTGGCATTTGGTTGACCACCAAATGACTCTTTAACCAACAATTAATTTTTTTCATCATCTGATATGACATATATCTTTGTCAGAGCTCATTGGAGAGTGAACTTCTAGTAAAACTGATACCACTGAGAGAGCAAGCAATATCATCTGCAGAAACTACATGTTTTATTGTACCAGAAGTTCTTTCTTTTCAATCAGTAGTATTTCCAGTGACATTTAAGCAATGCATTATACATTCATAGCTGTGTGAAGAAGCCATGCAAAACATATTAAACAGGCTTTCCAAGGAAGACAAAGGAATTTAGATGCTAAACTCTCAAAACTTACTGAATGAAAGAACCTAATTAATTTATACTTTTTAAAACTATCAGATACAAAAAACATTTAATATACAAATGTTAACTGGAATTGCTCTGCTTTATATTGATTTCTTAGACAAACAAAAAGTTTTGAAATAATTGTGATAAATTAAGACTATAATTATGCATATGAACCAAAATTAAATAGAATGGTTATAGATAGATTCTGCCATATTTAAGATTTCTTTAAAATCAATACTTTTCATTAAAAATTAGACACATGGTGTTGCTGTACAAGAAATTTTGGGTTGTATTTTCTTCTAAGTAATATGTATCTTATTCACAGAATATTCTGAACTTGGAATGGACCTGCAAGGATCAAGTCCAACTCTTAAATGGATGGGCATTGAGCCCACAACCCTGGCATTATTAGCTCCAGGCCCAAACCAACTGAGCTAAACTCAAAGAATTCACAAAAATTTAAGATTAAAGTAATTCAGCAACTTCTGTGCCTATAGTGACTTTTAATACACACCTCTTACAATCAAACTCTTCCGAAAAAAAGAAATCTGGTGAAAGATTTATCATCATGCTAATCCCTCTACTTTACCATTTACTGGAAGTGTATTTTTAAAAATTCAAGGTACTATTCAGCATTCCCAAAATACAACCCTGCAGAGTCTCTTCTGCCTGTGATTTGGCTGATCTTACCAATCCCTATATTCTTTCTTAGCTCCTTCCTCCCACCCTTTGCCAATAGTACACTAAGTGGGCTTGATTTTTGCATTGACTGCATTATTAGGGAAAATAGTAATTCCTACAGAAATGTCTCTTTAGTTAATACAAGGCTCAAATTTGTATATTTTTAGGGACTTTGAGTACTGCAAATAATGTAGAAATTTTCTTGAGCACACATGTAAATATTTAAAGCAAAACACTAACAGACCGCAGATATAAGGTAGAATGTTAATTCGGGATCCAGTAAAGGCAAAATAAAACCAAACCAAATGCTACAGTTGAAATTCAAAAAAATACATCTCAACAAAAATCAGATACTTCTTGAAGTCTCTCCCTCTTTCCTTCCATCATGGTTTATGTTAATGAGATTATTTCTCAGCTGTCACTCTGAATATAGACTTACCAGAGCTCAGTTACTAGACAGCAGTAACTCATAACAGCAGTAAGCTGACTGCTGTTACCCTTCTGTCTGGAATTCCTGCATTTCTATTCTCCCAGATATTTTGATCTTACAGGACTGATCCATCATTTTCATCATCAGCTACTAGAAAAAATAGAACTAGAGACACTGTTATAAAGAAGGAGCATTTAAGTATTGAAGTTTCCTCCATTTGGCTGACTTAAGCTAGGACTTAGATTTAGAACCTGAACTGTGGGGTTATTTTCTGCATGATCTAACATCCTGTTGACAATACTGTAACAGTTTCAGTTCTCATCCTCAAACAGTAAAAAGCAAAGAAAAAATGCTGATCTGAGCTTGCACAGTGCCTTATCTCATTGGAAAGAGGAATGACTTCAGTCTTTTCTGCTCTCCAAAACTCTTACACATCCATCCTCCAGGATGGATGCTATGTCAGTAGCAACTTCACAGCAAAAAATTTTATTGCAAAGCTGAAGGAGACAGTTGGGGGTGGGAAAAGGAATGAGGATGTTCTAGTTTAATATCTGCTGGACATGGAACACCACACAGCCACTCACTCACTACCCCCAAACCCAGCAGGATGGGGGAAGAGGATTGGAATGGTAAATAAGAGACAACACATGGGTTAAGATAAGAAGAGTTTAATAACTGAATTATAATATTATGATAATAACATAATGAAAAGGAAAATAAATTTTAAAAAGTGAGAAAAAACCCCAAGAAAAACAATTGTTCACTACCAACCAATGCCCAGCCAGTCGCTGAGCAGCAGACCCTGGCCAGCCTTCCCTCTAATTTATATGTGAGCATTGACACCACTTGGTCTGGAATATCCCTTTGGCCAGTTGGGGTCAGCTGTCCCAGGTGTGTCCCCACACAAATCCTTGTGCACCTCCAGCCTGCTCATTGGCAGGGAGTGTGAGAAGCAGAAAGGGTCTTGACTCTCTCTAAGCACTGCTCAGCCATAGCTAAAATATTGGTGTGCTGTCAACACTGCTTTTATCACAAATCCAAAACACAGCCCCATACCAGCTGCTAGGCAGAAAATGAACTCTACCCCAGCCAAAACCAGCACAGAGGACAAGATCTCAAAACAGTTCACTCCTGTATTAATATGAAACCTCTGTGAACTTCACAGTCAGAAACACAGGCATTATGTTATCAAATGTTTTACCTATTTTGAAGGAACATTGCTGCTTTGGACAAAGTTCATTAACATAATAATATGCCTGGCAGGTACTGCTCAGGATCTTTAAATAACCTAAATCAAAGATATTTCATTCTAACTGTCTTCTCAGGCAACTGAGTTGGAAGTCCTGACAGAAAGAGGAAATTATTTGCCTCTATTCTACAAAATTTTCTGAAAATTTTCTGATAAGCTTGGAAAAAGTTAGACATTGTTAAAAATTGCTCTGAAATATAGAAGTCAGCTGGTTTATACTTAGCTTTATTCACACTCTTTTGGTCTAAGACCATACTCTGGAAGAGATTTTTGTTTTCCTATATAAGGGTTTGAGGTTTTTTTGCTATATGTCTTGTCAGAAATTATGAGTAGAATCCCAATTGAACTGTGTAAAAAAGACTGTCATTCTGGTTCCACTGTAGTTATAGAGCAAAGAAATTAGTAAGAACAGAGGTTCTGACTCATGTACAACTTTAGTTACTTTGAATGGAGGGTTAATTTCTAAAATTTCTGCTTGACAGAACAACAACATTAACAACAGTATTAACAATATTAACAACAGCCAATCCTGAATAAAGCATTCAGATACCATCAGTATTTTGGTGGGCATTAAGCTTCTAGTGTTTTGGTTTGTGAAAGAAGTTAGGGTTTTAATGGCTGTGAACAAATATATGTATTAAAACTTTGTGCTTTCTCTCTAAAAGGGATGTCCATGCTGTTAATATTCCTTTGATTTCTGTCATAAGAGACAGTATTTGAATATAATACCAAATCACTCAGTTTGACTAGAAAGTATGCTGAACAACTGATCTTTTAAGATTGTCCCTAAAAAAAGACAGCTGATTCAATATCAGAAATAGACATATCTTTAGCCTTTTCACTCTGCTAAGTGTGGTTGTCATTTCTTTCACAAAATTACATTGTTGAAACACTGACCTGAGTGCAGCAATTGCAGAATTTTAAAGATTTCAGTGTCTAGATTCAGCTAAGTATTTAAACTTATCCATGCTTTTTCAGCCATTTCAAGCTGAAAATTTCCCAAAAATGTTAGAGGGGAAAAAAAAAAGAAAAAAAGAGGATAGTTTCATGCTGTTCCAATCACTTTCTTATTTGTACCTAACTGTATTTTTTACATAATGAAATTACTTACTTGCTTTTTTTCTATTTCATCTCAGTGTTCATTCACTGATTTCACTAAGAATATATAGACAGGCACAAATTAAACAAAACTGGAGGTGAGTTTTATGCTTCTTTCTTTAAAACAATTTACTGCTGTTCAATGTGCATGTCAGGGATTTTCTTTGTTTAGAATCTACTTCCAAATTAAACTAAGGTAGAAAATTCAAGTACTTGGAGTAACTTTGTTATTGCAATTTTGAAAACTCTGCACTTTGAAGTATTATATAAGTCCAAATAATATGATCATTGGTAGGGGGAGGGAGGGCAAATTTAAAACCATTAGTTATAGTAATTTTTCTTAAGTACCTGATTTCAAAGCTTTTTGGTCATGTTTTCAAAGTTCCACCTATAAGCCTGAGACACATTTCTATATATTTCTTATAACAGTGCAGAAGAGCAATAATATTGAATTATGAGATATTAATTAATATTTGTACCTCAGAAACTGTATTTTTCAGCAAGAAAATATTTCTTCTTAAATTTATAATTTTTTTATAAGTGGTTCATAAACTCTGCCTTGACTTCTGCATTGTCAGGTGGTCTCTGCACAATGGATTTAGCATAAAGTCCCTGCTCAGGGGGAACTAGAGGATTTCCTGGGAATCAGGGAGAGGGAGGATCAAAGGATGTCCTGCTAGACTCATTATTGTCTTCTCACCCACTGCTTCTCTTGTGCAATGGCAGCTATCTGCATCAGCAGGAGAAGACCAGGCTTCCATAACTCTGGGAAGCAGCTGTGGAGCCTTAAGGCTTGTTCACACATCCCCTCTGACTGCAGCTCTGCAGGCAAAAAAATACTGTTTTGTTCCAGCCTGCCTCCAGTCACCAACATTTTAACCTTCCCAACTTCATTTGAACTGAAGCTTAGCAGGAAGGTTCAGATGAGTGGTCGATTTCCAGGGGCAGCAACCTATGTGGAAAGGGACAATGACAAAGAGCTGGTAAGGGAGTGAGAACATAAATTTCTGCAGGCAGAGTAAAATGATGTGTCAACAGCCTTGCTAAACAGGGATTTCTCCACCACTTTGAACTTTACTTCACCACTAAGGCTAAGAGCTTGTCTCTATTGCTTCGTTTATGACTTGTAATTCACCATGGTAAATTATTGCAGAAAAAGGAAAAAAAAAAAACCGGTTAGTGTTTTCAAATGCTTTTTTATTAAACAATTGCCCAACAAGTATTTAAGTCTGTGCTTTTGAATGCTAATAGGACAATATTTGGGTCTGATAATATCCTGCATCCTATGGATGTTTTCATCTACTTTTATGGGAATTTTGTTTGAATGAATTTTCATGAAGTCTTAACCTGCTCCTTTCAAATGTTCCATAAGTATTCAGTAATGGGAGCCTCCTAAATTTATTGAGATTGAAGATTGAAAGAAAAGTTTGTTATCTGAAGGAATAAAAATCCATGATTATAAATACTTAAAAATACCTTTATTTCAAAATGTAAGGGGAGAAATTAATTTTGGAGATAAATACCAGAAATAAAATAATCCCAGTCTTTCTAAACCTGAAATAATCCACTCAGCACCAGTGACTTATTAAAGTGGAATGGGTTTGAAAATAATTAGTATCTGCCAGAATCATCTGTGAATTCAGTTCCTTAATGCTTGTACCCTTTGATTTGATTTGAATTCAATGGTGAAGAAGCCTTGTCATTCATGAATAGTAGATTAGTACTATACTTTGCCCTTTCCCTCAAAAACCCCAATAATCTATCACAACTCTGTTTAGGAGTGGATAAAGGATTTATTCTGACTGTTTTATGAGACAGTGGCCTCCAACTAATTTGTACAGACATAGGATTTTCTCTCAGGACCAATGCACAGACAACCAACAATTAACTTTGTCAGGTGGCTAGCAGCCATAACCAATTATGTTTCAGTGCAGACCTCTTCAACCTCTTATAAATAAAAAGGAAAGATGCTATAATAATGGAAAG